TCTGGGAGCTTGTTGGAGTTGGTGTCAGGCACGGAATTTAAATGTAGGGACCATCAATGTCTGCTCAAATACTATGCTCCCCAATATGCCTAACACTGCATCTGACCTGCTGTCAAAATACGGGCTAGTAAAAAAGGCAATCATCTTTAGGAATAGAAGACAGTATTTCTTATTTTTTCCTACATTTCATTTATAAAGTGATACAGTTTAAAGTCAGTTTTAGCTGACCTGCTAGTTGGTATGGAAAAAAATCAGTGCCAAAAAACTGAGTTGGTGTACTCAGACAGTTGTTAGATGATGAAACACAGAAGAGGAAGGGATACTTATGCTGCCCAATGAGAGCACCAGATTTTACTTTCAAATCTGTTCTTGTTGTCATCTAAAGAAGTTTAAAGGCCTTTACACAGTTTGGTACCAAGAAGAATGAGCCCTCAAATACATGTGTGTAAGAGGAAGAGAAAGAGGAAAGAAAGGGCAGGCAAGTGCAACAAATGAGTAGTGAGCAAGCTATGGCATGACAAAGCAGAGAAGAATCAATGGAAGTTGACGATGTAGTTCAGTGGTAAAGCTCTTGCCTAGCATGCAGGAAGCCCACTCCATCCATAGCTTTGAAAATGAAATGGCTATGGAAGAATAAGCAAATATCTACAGAAATAAAAGGGTTATGACTGTGCTAAGAACTTTCAGTTGTTTCAAGGACAGGTGGATGGTAGCAGGCTAAAAATGAAAGCAATAGCCTTGGTATGATTCCAGTGTGGGACACAGCAAATATGCAAGCCTGGGGAAAAATGGGGATGACATAGAAATTTCTTGTGGAAAATTTTTTGTCGGTTGTGGGGCCTGAACTATGGGCCTGGGTGCTGTCCCTAAGCTCTTCAGCTCAACGCTAGTGCTCTATCACTTGAGCCACGGTGCCACTTCCGGCTTTTTTCTGCTTATGTGGTGCTGAGGAATCAAACCCAGGGCCTCATGCATGAGTGGCAAGCATTCTACCACGGAGCCAACTTCCCAGCCCAGAAATTTTTTTATTACTTTCTTAGGAAGGAGTAGAGGCTTAAGCCAGAAGCTTCATAGTTTATATTGACTACATTTATGTTGAACTACATATATTGTAATCAATGTAATTTTCATCACAGTGTAGATCCAGTCATTCTAAACAAATCCTGAAGTGAGAGGAGTCATGAAATCTGAACTTAAAGTAGAAAAAAAGAAACCCATAGGTACAAATTAATGGCATACAAAATACCATTAAGAGTTATGAGGTGAAATGAAGGTGATTAGGAGGTGTTACAAGTTTGGGGACCAGGGAGATGCTATTTTATTGGAAGGTGTGTGTATCATAGAAAGCCTGAACAGAGACCAGAATGAAGTGAGAAAAAAAGCCACACAATGATCTCTAGCTGGAGACTAAAGTCAATAAGGACAGAGGCATTGGGAGGATTGGTTGGTTTGGAGAGTAAGAAGAAAGGGTGTCTACCCTGAAAACATTACAGGAAGGAATAGGAGAAACTCTAATTTCGGCACAGGCCGAAATTTTCTTAATAAAGACCCAGAAACACAGCAAATCAAAGAAAGGTTGGACAAATGGGATTGCATGAAACCACAGAGCTTCTGCATGGCAAAGGACATAGCTAGCAAGATCAATAGAAAGCCCACAAATTGGAGAAGATCTTCACTAGCCATACAACAGTCAAGGACCTCATATATAAAATACACTTAGAACTCAAAAAATTAAGTCCCCCAACAATAAACCCTCAAAGAAACAACTGCCCAATTAATAAGTGGCCTAAAGACTTAAAGATAAGACTTCTCTGAAGAGAAAATAAGAACGGTCAATAGACACAACTTCTCTAGGCCATAAAAGAAATGCAAATCAAAACGACATTGAGATTCCACCTCACCCCAGTCAGAATGGCTATAATCAAGAACTCTAATAACAACAGATGCTGGAGGGATGTGGCCAAAAGGGAACCCTACTGCATTGTTGGTGGGAGTGTAAACTTGTTCCACAACTTTGGAAAGCAGTATGGAGGTTCCTCAAAAGCCTCCACATAGAGTTCCCCTATGACCCAGCAATCAGACTTTTGGGCATTTACCCAAATGTTTACAAACAAGACCACACTAAAGCTACCAGCACGACTATGTTTATCACAGCATTATTTACCATAGCTAAGATATAGAACCAACCCAGATGTCCCTCAGTAGATGAATGGATCAAGAAAATGTGGTATACACACACACACACACACACACACACACACACACACACACACACACACACAGACACACACACAATGGACTCCATCAGAAAGAATGACA